AGTGCCGTACATAGTTTATTTTATGCTCGTTCTTTTTTTGCTCGTCCTTCTGCGACCGCTTCTTCTTAGGCGGGTTGTCGAGCCGTTTCGTGTTCGTGTCTGCTGTGGATATTATATATCTATATGGTTTTTCTTGTGGTGGTAGACGGGAAAGGAAAAGTTGTTAACAGCGCACCGGCAGCGGCAGCTGCAGGTTGTTCGACGGTGCGACTATGAGAGACAAGGGTGAGGTGTAAGTAAAGTAAAACATTACCGCAAGTAAAACGATCGTTCCACCACCGGCCATTTAGAGATGTGCTTCAAAAGTATGGACATTGCCTAAGACTTTATTTACTTTCTTTAGAGCCGCAAAAGTACAAAGATTTTATTATTAATTCCATTTTATATTAGCATATATTTATATTTTTTATTTCATGCAGCACATCTATAATATAAAAATGAATCGCAAAATCTGTTGGTAAGCGTATAACTCAACAACGCCTAGACCAATTTGGCCAATTATTTATATAAAATGTTCGTTAAAGTCTAATTATGGTTTTTACAGTGAGAAAAAATCGAATAATTGCTGGGAAAACCCTAAAGACAGCCCTTTTCTATAGGATAAAAGTCGGCATTGAGATTCAATCATAGTTATAGTTAAATATTTGAATCCCAGATGGCGCGCTGAAGTGCATTATTTTTTATTAAACACTACCGGGACTAAGTCTCGGGCAAAAGCTTGTCCACTAATAATTTTAAAAATATATCTGGTTATCTATTGTTTTCAGGAAGCAATTAAATATCCCAAAATTATATCCCACTGAATGTATAATAATATTATCTTGAACAATGACATGCCCAAAGATGTTTCCTGTGAACCCAAACAAACGTCCTTTATGCTACCAGTACCGACTCCGCACGGAAGCGAAACACGAACAATAAACAAAATTAAATTTTGTAACTTTCCACCATCTGGTGCTGCACTACCAAGCTTTCAACGTTTTTTACATTTTATATTATTTTATTTTACTCCCTTTCAAACCTAGTTATGCCCTTGAACGTTTTTGCTTCCGGCTGGTTTGCAGTTTAATAAAATTATACCATGCACATAGTGCATGTGGCGGCGTACAATTCGAATCTGCGTCGATTTTCGCCCAGCGCGCAATGTTCAACGTCGCGTTCGGCTTTAGTCGCCGGGATTACATAGAGATAGATGACGCTTTACGCTACGCTCGCCCACACAGCGTATAGTGGTAGTACGCGAAGAGGAAAGTGGGTCAGATACATTAACACCGAATTGATTTTCGTCTCGGCGTTAATAATTTCGGACTTACGTTGCGCCCGAAATGTGTCGCTGCCCATCACACGTCAATTAAATATTTACCTGTCGCTTTCAAAATATGCAAAAACGCTTTGCAACCCACACAAGCCACTGGCAATAAAGTGCCATCGAAGGTTTCCAGCAATTTTTTTAAAATTCTAATAAAAATCTCTGATATTTTGTTTATAAACATACAATCATTATAAATAAATAAAATTTAATCGCAAAATACGATTGTGATTGCGTTGAATTACAATACTGCAGTATAAAAATATTTCGATCAAATATTCAGTGGAAATTTAATCAACAAGCTTTTGTTTTGAATTGTTAATAATAGTTTTGTAATTAAATATGCGAACGTAAATGAATATTTTAAATTTTTACTCAAAATTATATTGCAAATACATAAATTTTAAAATCTAATTTGTTATTTAAAGTAAAATTACACTTAAAAATATTAAACTCTTGCTTTCCGCATCTTAACATCCGGGTTTTCACGTTTACCGTGTGAATCGTAACGGAAATTTTACTTTTAAGACCATTTAAACCCGCCGAAAAGCTTCTGAAGGCCAGCGCGATTCTTGTACCGCAAAAGATTACAACCACCTCGATTTCCACGCCGCACGTGACTCCGCAGTTGAATAATTTATAGAGAGCACACGTAAAAGTTTACGCCTTTTTTACATAACTAAAAAATCCTTTCTCTCCTTTCTACCGCTTCTTGCCTACATCTTACATCTTACGAAAGTTGCAACTTTAAACTTTTTTCTAGACGCTTGAAATCCAGCAGCTTTTATACAATTTTACAATTTCAGCGTTTTCGTAACCGCAAACACGAAATTAAGAACTTTGTGTCGTGTTTGCTTTTTTCTTTTGTGTTGATGATGAACATTTGTTCGTGATGATTGGCGTTTATGATGGAAATTTGTAAATTTGGGAATGTTATTTATATTATTAAAAAATAATTTTATTATGAAACTAGCTTCTGCCCGCGACTTCGTCCCGGTAGTGTTTAATAAAAATGTCATTTGTTTCTATTCTCTTGTTCGAAACATAGGTTGTGTCAATTCTATCTATAAGATTCGCAATTTTATTTTAAAGAAATTAATTAAATAAAGAATTACTAATAATGCACTTCAGCGCGCCATCTCGGATTCAACTATTTAACTATAACTATGATTGAATCTCAATGTTAACTTTTACCCCATAGAAAAGGGCTGTCTTTAGGAGTTTTTCGGCAATTATTCAAATTTTTCTCGCCGTAAAAACCATCCTTGTACTTTAACGAATATTTTACAAAAATAATTGGTTAAATTGGTCTAGGCCTAGTTGAGATATGCGCTTTCTAACAGATTTTGCGATTCATTTTTATATTATCGAATAATTCTAATAATGTAAAGTTTTTCCTTAGTTTTTAGTTAGTACAATTTATTAACATATTATTCCATTATATCTGACATTAAAAAATGTAAGTAACAAAAATCACTGTGGTACAATTCAAGCTTACTTAACCAACGACGTTCAATGTGGTTGTTTTTGTTTTCAAATGCATATGACAATATTAATCCAGTGAATTGACAGTGGCAGCGGATTAAATAAGCGAATTATCTCGTTTATGAGGTAGGTATATCTGATTTTTGCGTCGCCCAAAATAGTAACTCAACAAAACCTTTTCATAGAGAGTACGTGAGTGTGTTGTATCTCTGTGTGTAACATTTTGTGCAAAAATTGATCACTTGCATCTCTCTGAATTTTCAAACTTTTGTACCCAATATATTATTACACGAGAGCCAAAAGCATTGAATTGCCGGCTGACTGATCGTTTGGTTACTATGCCAACGCAGAGAAATGCTACGCCATCGTGGTTGTTGGCTGAAGCGGCGGATGTGAATGCGCGACCGGCGTCGTACGCCCGTAGTACTCGAAATCTCATTCAACGTTGCAGGACGCGATAGTGCTGCCACAGCGCGCAGTACGCACACACGGGGTAATCGGCTGCAGGCGCACATCCATCCATCTATATCCGTCCGTGCGGATCCAACATCCAACGCTCACGACCGCATTGATTAAACCCATGTTCTTTTGACATGCATCCGGTGCGGCGCAAATTAATTATATCGCCAATCGCCTCAAAATGAAATATTTCGTCTCGTTGTTCTCGCGCAACGAGGGGACTAGGAGACAATAAATGAGCGTAATGAACACCAGTCTCTTTGGTCGCATCAAATTCTGAACTTATTTCGCGTCAGTATACAGCGAAAAAATAGACGCGTGCACCTGATCCTGTAGCGCGCATCAGGTTAACAATATTTAAAATACTTTTCCTCCTTAGGGGGAGGTCTTGCGAGTTTATGGAGCGGAAAATTTTCAATTTAAATTTCCAGCAGGTATTTCGCTTTCCCCGCATGCGTCTTTTGCGGAATACGGCACCTTGTTACTCAAAGTTATTAATGCGTAAAGCAAAACACTTTATTTCATCAAAATGCTACAAAAAATAAAATCTTTAACCAAAAATGATTTTTTCTACTGTAGAACAGTAGTAAAATGCAAGTTATTCTGATAACATCCTGTCTATAGTTGTTTGAATAGTCGAGTACACTCAACACTCAGTTGCACTAATACCAGGACTGGGGGGGTGGCGCGGCCCAGTCACTATAAATTAATTAGCGATTCCTTTCGCTTAAACCCTATAAATATTCTCAGTCGGCATGATTGCGCTGCTCGAGCGCATGTTATGCGTAAACATTTTTAATTGGATAATTAAATTCATCATTAGCCAATTTGGCGTTGATCTAATTAGCTCTGCAGCGCGTAGATTTAAGCAGATAGCACGGCGAGGCGCACAAGCTAATTACTTCTTAAATTTTAATTGCGCTCCGTTAGTCATAGATCAAAAGACAAAACTTAAACAACTTGTCACTAATCTCCTCCAAAAAAAAGAAGAAAAAAAACTATAAAATCGTTGCACTCAGTTGAACAAAATCAATATTCACTATGCACCAATCTTGAAGCTAATACAACTTCTTCAGATAACATATATTTATGTATGTGTGTATGTACAAGAGGATGCGCATTATTTCCGCATGTAAAATTGATGATGATGATGATCACGTGAGAGAATCATGGAAGGAGAGGTAACGCTATTCAAAGCATTCGTTACCATCCCCAGTGCTACAACATTGCGCCCGCCGTAATTCGTAAAACATTCCGAATGATGAATTTGCGGTTTAATTCGTGTTTCTATACAATTCCCGCCCTGCAAAACTGCTCTCCTCCTTTTCATGACTACAATGTATCGAGTCTATGCTTCTCGTAAGAAACATGACGACAATCTCTTTGTTCGCCCAAAGCTCCGATAGCGAAGTGAGATTAGAAACACAAAACGCACCTGTTAGGATATAGAGGTTGTGTCACATCTTTATTCCGGGAAACTATATAAACTTCTGCAAAATTCTTTGACCCTTGACCTTAATAATTGCATGGAAGCAGGTTGCATGCAAGAAGTACATCAACCTCATCAAACAGCATCACCACGAAGTGGTGAATATGTACTTTCTGGCTTCGGTGGTAGTTTCATGCCGTAATATACATTGTTATGTGTGTCTGCGTCACGGGAGCATTTGTATGGGTGACTGGGACGTTTGGGGGGATGAAGAGTAAGCAGGCCTCGGTTTCACACCCCTGCCGGTTTGGCGAAACGCGCGCATCCCGTTCGTGTGGCGGCTGCCACCAGTCGGTGCGTAGCCGTTGTGCAGCGATGACCTGCTAGTATGATGGGGTAGTAGAAATATGACTCTCTGGTGTCGAGTATGGACCCTCTTGATTATCATCACATCAGGTAATGTACTTTTTCAAAACACTAAACAATATTTTTCAGTAGTATATTTTCGTTAAAAAAATTTTATTCAAAAATCTCATATTTTGTCTCTGTGAAATTTTATTTTACAACGCGTCGGGCTGTCAATGCATAAATTTTTACGATGCTCGTAAAAGTGCATATTACTCTGGTTCTAAAATATTTTTTGGGTTAAAACATACACTTAGACTTTATGTGAGCTATACATATCTGTATTTGGGGATGGAAAATTGAAGCACGTGTTTTATATAGATAGGTACATTTCATTTTCACGAATATTAATTATGGTAATTTTGCGTGAAATGCAAAATTGCGTTTTGGAAATTATACAAACAGCACGTTTTGCTAGGATCCTGTGGGTCTTCGGGTTTGTGTAAGATTAATAAATAATGCGCCGGCGTTTATGTTCTCCTCAAGCACCTTCGAAATATTGCATTCGCTCTGAAGGCATTTACGTGCCCGGCACGACGACTGTTTCGCTGTATTTTACGGAAAAGGTTCACCGTTGAAGTGGCATCTTTTTCGGCAGGTCGCAGCCATCCGAAACGAGGGCTAATTTAAATTGTCAGTAATCTTACCCGGCAGGAAGCGACCTACGTTTATTTGTGACAGCAAGAACGAGCAAACATTCCAACGTTCTCAAGGGCTCATTGCACAATATTATATTAGCACATCTATTTTCTTTGCATTTACTGTAAATGAAAAAAAAAACAAATAATTAAAACTAAAGAATAATTTGACGGAAAGTTTGTTCACTGGATGCGTACAAAATTGTTGCAGAGTTTTTGGGACAACGTTACAAATAACTGCAGTAAAACCTGACGCCAAACACATATTCAACCATTATGATCGGACAAAACATGCTGCAGCATGCTCTAAAAATATTTGAGCCAATGTTTGTTTTGTTCCACTTGGAGTGTTTACGAAAGGCTCAATGATTTCGTATTTTCAATTAAATTATTTTTGGGCTACCAGCCGGCAATGTATGGTTACGCAAACATTGTGCGCACGAAGTGATTCTCGTTCCAATGTTCATAAGCAGTTCTGGTTCGGATTATTCAGCAATAACATGACACGGGTTAAATGTTAAATGTATGTCAAAAATGTTATAATTCAATTAGGGCCGCATGAGGAATATCATTTCGCTCGATTAATTAAATAATTGTATAATCCTATTACATAACATTTCATATAACTAAATTTACAACTAATTGTATTACAATTTTTATTTGCGATTTTTAATATTGTCTTTCCTCAATTGTATCGTATAACTTTTTCAATTGTTACTTAGTCTTAAATGAATAAGCAGACAATTTCTCTGTATCACATGTCATCAAAAAGAATTAATCAAGACACGTTATATTTTGCGCGTTCTCCCCCACCGATATTTTTCCAACTACGTCGACAAAAACCATAAATCACTCGGGGAGAATGTAACCTTAATTGAACGACAAGTGGAAGACGTTCGTTTTGGTGTTTGTAAGTTCGTTTCGGGCACATTCGGGAGTTTGTAACACCGACGTCACAATTACGTCTTCATTCATAGCTTAGATGAATGATTGGATGATTTTTACACAGTATAGAAAAATTATTTGAGGTTAAAAACACGTATGGTTGCGCATGAACAAACAAAAAAGGCTTTGAGATTAGAGATAGGCGTGTTTCTCGTTTTTTGTGTTTTTAAACGCTCCATCGGAAGACGTGTCAATCACGTCGTTTTATAACTCACTAAAGTGGTACCGGTGGCACGTAGCCGCCGACTGAGCGGTCGAAAGCGAACGGGTGATAATTAGATGCAAACAAATAAGCTATCCGGAGGGCAAATAAAATCCCGGCTCGTGCAACGCACCCGACGCGTTCACCAGCAACTCTATGTGTGCTTCCGTTGATTTTCTATTACGATAAAACACGAGCGCAGGACGGCAGGACGTGCCACCAGAAACGCGCCATCGATTCCACGAGACGTAAACAACATCCTGCTAAACACACCCACCAAAGATCAATGAGACATAGTGGACGAGATCAATGAACTTCCTAGATAAAACGTATTAAAATTGAGTTTAAATGTCGTCAAGATTGGAAAATTGCAAAACACACTCACACATCTCAACGAGGCGCAATAATTATTCGGACTGTTGCGCAACAAACCGGATCAATCGCTCACCGAGCAAACTCGGTCGGCGGGGGCGTCGATCAGCAAACTCAGTTGACAAATTGACGACTTTAATTATTTTCCCAACATTGCTTGCTCTCACACCTTCAATATTCAGCAACACCAACACGCTCATATACCAATCACGCGAAATCCGATCGAATTTGTAAATGCATCAATAGTAATGCCGTTAAATAAATTAAGCACGCTCATTTGCAGTTCCACGAGTGCGATGTCAGTTTACTTCTCGCAATGATTAAATTCGTTGAATTTTGCGCTCGGATTTACGCCGACAATAGCGGCGAGCTAGAAATTTGAATCTGAATGCCAGAGTAAACGTAAGTACCTACATCTACTGGTTGTTATCGGAAGAGCGATTGCTTTTTCATTGACAATTGCTAATAATTCTCGTTTATAATTAATAGAGCTAAGTTTACAACTCGATTAAATTAATGTGCGTTGATTTGCGCAACTAATTTGTATTCGGGCGCGAATCTAATTTTGAAACTAATGCGATTGCTTGGCACATGTCCGATTTAATAGCGGGGTAGGAAATGGTGAATGCAAATTGCCTGTCAATATAACATAACATAATTATAGTATATAACATAATATATTATAAACCAGCTTTTGCCCGCGACTTCGTCCCGGTAGTGTTTAATAAAAATGTAATTCGTTTTTACTCTCTTATTCTAGACATAGTATGTGTCAATTCTATCAATAAGATTCGCTATTTTATTTTAAAGAAATTAATTATATAAAGAATTGCTAATTGCTGAAGTGCATCAGCACTTCCATCACTGCACTGCCATCTCGGATTCAACTATTTAACTATAAATATGATTGAATCTCTATGCCAACTTTTATTCTATAGAAAAGGGCTGTCTTTAGGGTTTTCCAAACAATTATTCAAATTTTTCTTGCTACAAAAACCATCCTTGGACTTTAACGAACATTTTAAAATAAGAATTAGCCAAATTGGTCCAGGCGTTGTTGAGTTTTGCGCTTTTCAACAGATTTTGCGATTCATTTTAGATAATGTCTATCAGCGTACCAAAAAATATAAATTTTGATAATTTTGTGTGTAGATGGATAAAAAAAAATTAAAATATTAAATATCTATTCAGAACTAAATATGCTCTGGCAGTATAATAGAATGTTTGGCTCTAACCCTCCGCTTCTTGTAGTGCTTCTTTATTCCATGAAGAACGTAGTGCTGCAACCTTTGGCGCAAGCTTCGTCCACTCTATTCAAGTACCCAGCTGGGGTTTTCTTCATTTTTCCTTCGTTTCCTATTTTCGATGCCATACAGCGCGCGCGCACTGTGGTACACGCAATCCTACCACTAAGTCCAACCCCGCCGACCTTTGCTTTATTTTTGTCTCCTGCTCGAACAGTCGCGGCGGCTTTCTTACAGAACTGCTCGGCTGCAAAAATAAATCGTCAAGAACTGTTCAAACATTTGATGATGACATTTTTCGAAAAATAAATAAGTAATACGTTGGTAATTTTTTGCCACCCGTCGACGAAATGATTCGTTTTTCTGACACATGCGGTGAGCTGTTCTGCTGTTATTTATTACCGAATATCCTGATGGGGCGGCCAATTTATGACGGCAACTAGGTATTTATTGAAACGTGGCTAAAAGCCCTGCAACCGGGGCGAATTCGAATGAAATTCAATTTACATTTTGTTGCCATGACGCTATACCGAGTTTATTTTAGTCCGCAGTTATGAAAAAATAAAAGCGCCCCGATTTAATGATGCAAATTTGAAGGTTTACATTACTAAATGACGGATTTATAACTATTTCTCCGTTGGAATAAAAACACATGATTTGCATACATCGAATAACGAGTTGAATGAAATAAATCTTCGCGTGTGGTGTGAGTTGTGCGTAGTTTTTATTTATTTATCTGTCGGGAAATTTTATGCTGTCAAGTGTAATACTTAGGAGCATTATGTTCGAAAGAGTTTTTCCAGCGAGAGTGTGTCTACGTGACTATTTTCAAAAATATTTAACGTTTGTATTCATATAATGCCCGGCTTGGAGAGGCGAGGCGAGACGTGCACCGTGTGTGTGTGTTCACCCGAGCGCACACGCGTTTTTTTTTCCTTCGGGGACAATACACTTAACATTTTGAATAAGAAATGCAGCATTTTCATTTCATATTAAATTCTTTCTCGCTACCTTTCACAGAAGCTTTGTATGTGTGCACTAATTCAGATAAATATACCTTTTGACATGGGAAGTCTATCCAGCAGGGATAAAAATTTAAAATAGTAAAATATGTTTCAAAATTGGTAAGGTACTTTAAATATTTAACCCGTCAACCTTTTTGTTACAATTCCGCTTTAAAAATCCAAGATTTTATATTTTTACCCCCCACTATGTCCCGGTAGTGTGTAATTAAAATGTAATTCGTTTTTACTCTCTTGTTCTAGACATAGTAGGTATGTGTCAATTCTATCAATAAGATTCGCTATTTTATTTTAAAGAAATTAATTATATATAGAATTGCTAATAATGCACTTTAGCGCGCCATCCCGGATTCAACTATTTTACTATAACTCGCCGTTAAAACCATCCTTGTACTTTATCAAACATTTAAAAAAAGAATTGACCAGATTGGTCTAGTCGTTGTTGAGTTATGCGCTTACTAACAGATTTTGCTATTCATTTTTATATTTAAATATTTGATTTTCTCTTTTTATTATTTTCCAATACAAGTTAAATGCTATCATATAAAAAAATGTGTTTACTCATGAGATCCATTTGACTGCCAGCGGCAAGGCAAGAAAAATCAGCATCAAGATTTGTTTAGTTTGC